ATTTTTATGGAATTTTCATTTAATAATTTCTCTAAGTTATTCTCTTTGCTTGTCATCTTGCTTTGTACCTAAGGGTAAAGCATTGCATGTATGTAAATACTGATTGCTCTATTACTTGTTTTTTTACAAAAAGGTATTTCAATAGAATGTTTAAAAATATTCCTAATGTGTATGTAAGTTTAGACTATTTTCTGATCACAACTGCCAGACTGACACTCTTTCAGTCAGTTATTTATCTATAATTTCAAATTTCCCAATAGAAGTAGTCTCACAGTTTTCAGCAATTTATAGTTATTAAGATCATTGTAAAATATTTTTAGGACCCATTCTAGAAGACAAGCAAGTTTTCATCTTAGGGAAATTATAATTTAAAGTATGACAAGACAAATAAACGTCAAACATATAAGGAATTGCTAAGGTGAGGAAGGAATGTTCTCACAAGGAGGCAACAGTAGAAAGGCACCAAGTGAGGATGTAAACAGAGGTTTACCAACCTGGTTGCCACTCCTCTGACAGATGAGAATGTCACTTGAGAAAACGCCAAGGATGAAAAGCTGATTGTCTCCCATTTCAATAGTTGATCATTTCCCCGACTTTTTGTCTGACCCAGAAAAGCAAATTAAAGCAGACGGGAGATTAGGAGGAGCAGGTTCTAATGGTGGGCCTGCTTTGCTTGGGCAAGGCACCTAGGTAAACTAGCACTCATTTTTTTCATCTTTACAGTAAGGCTGGTGAATTACACAGTCTAATACTTTGAGTACATCAGTACCATAGCAATTAGTGTTAAGTGGTCAAGTAAGAGAAAAACTTAGCCAAATGAAGTCATTTGAGATGAAAAATGGCTTTCCATTCCCAATAAACCTGGGGTGCTACAATAAGACCAATAACATTATCAGCGCACAACTGGACCACTGGTTCTTCTAGAGTCAAGACTGAGCAAATCCAGGAAGTCTTCAGGCTCTCAGCTCAGCTTGCTTTAGATTTAACAGCAAATGAGTCTTTCAAATTTCAAGATGCTAAAAAAAGTGTGTGTGATATACTAAATGTTTGATTATAAGTTTGGGAAAATAAAAAGTTTGTCCTGATTAGTAACTTTTTCCACCCTTTGGATTTAATTTTTATCATAAAATGCTGGGTTTTTATAATATTTTACCTAAAGATTTGCTTCCAAAGTTGTGATAAAGACCAAAAAGATAGACTCAGATGAGAATGTAAAAGGAAGAAAACTGAAGGGTGATAGAGAATAAAAATACAGTCAGTCAACGTGAAAAGCAGTGTTTCGTCTCTATATTAATACTGCTATGAGTTGAAGACTTTAGGAGCAAGATAACTGAATTTTGAGATTCTACTCCAGAGTACACATGACACAGTTACAATGAAGTACAGACCTGGAATTTGGATGCCAGGAGTTCTCCATCCTTTTCTGGTCACGGTATTGGATAACTACCTGACCGGGATCCCGTCCCCTACCCCTTCCCCTCTCACATAGACACACAGAGGAATACTTAGAAACAGAGTGGGGCTGCCAGTGTGCCATAAATACGGTGGCAGATTTCCCAAGAATCGCACTTAGAGGAAACAAAGGAGGCAGCATGCTTAAAAAAGAAAACCCACAGAGATATCTGACCCTAACCTCGGCTATGGGAGCTAGAGAGAAGGGAAACAAAGACCTCGTTATACAGACGACATTAAAACAAACACATGTACAACATTGATAAGGATTTTGCTTAAAGGGAGAAAAGAACAGGAAGGGCGGAAAGCCTCCACACAGACCAATGTGTTTGATGAAAACATATTTCCTTTTTTCTTCTGGTCTCCTCTGTAAGACAGTGTACAAAGTGCTCCATTTATATTTTCTTTGTTTTCATCCCAAAGCTAGAAGATCAAAGAGTTAATAAAACCTCCTTGCTGTAGGAGGTCATTACAAAACTAAACGCAGCAATTCAAAGTGGAAAATAGAATGAATGCCAAGGAGATGTTTAACGAAGTAACATTCTAGATGTATTCTTTGAAGAACATTTGCAGTCTCGTTTGATTGCTTTAGAGCGCACGGGGCACAGTGCGTCCTGCGCAGAGCGAACATTGACTGATGGTTGCGTTCTGCCGAACCGCGGCCAGGGCACTTGGAATCACAAGCGTATTTGATAGAGAATTACCTCATATGGTGGAAATATTCATGAGTATTTTACATAGCAAAATAGTATTAAAAACCCCCACCTTTTTTTTCCCTTAGACCTAATTAAACGTCCAAACATAAGACATGAGTCTATTCATTTGAAAAATAATTTGAAGCACTATTTTTCCAGGAACTGACAAAGTTGGATGGCGAGATAAGGGGTTAGCTTGATGTTTCCCATTAGCTATTAAGATCCTTCTTCTTTTTCTTTTCTTCTTCTTTTTTGCTCTTCTTTAGTGCTGACATCCTTAGAATGGGAACAAATACAGAATCTAGAGAGGTAGCCCTGGAAATTGTCAATATTGCCATATTGATTTATTCAAAATAGAAAGGCTGGTACACTGGTCTTGCATTTCAAGGTGTCATGGCAGAATCTGCCATTCAGTGAAGCTATTAAATCTCAGCATTAGGACCCATTAAGTTTCTTCCTAGAAAAGAAGCAGCAGAAAAGTCTAAACATCAGAAGTGACTATCCTGCTGCTGGAGCCATGGCTATTTGGCAACACAGAGGCTCACGACAGAGATCATTTAGTTTCTGACTGAGGTACAATAAAACAATTTTCTTCACTATTTGAAAACTTGGGAGCTACAGGTTGTTTTCATTTTATGGCGAAGGGAATTCTTTCCTAGGATAATTGAGGGATGGATTGGAAAACTGGCAAAGCTAGGCGTTCAGATGAATCCACTCAGAAGAGGAGTATAATTAAATAACAACATAGGAATTTAAAGATATCTGAGATTTAGTTTAAGCAATTAATTATTTGGGGCTAATAACTGACCTATTTCATTATAAAATGAAACTGTTTTGAAGTACCCTTGAATGTTGTGCTGATGCCGATAGTCTTTTTTTTTCTTTTTCCATCATTGGTGCATGTCACCTCCCTGCAAAGCAACCAGTTTGCAGATCTGGCCAAAAGGAAAATTACTGGGCAACAAAATGAAAAGGAGATGTAAGTTAGCCTGGCTGTCTGAAGACTAGGAAAGGCAGCTTCCCTCCCGCTCATGAAAGAGGACGATTGTGCTCAGTACCACTTATCCGGTGCCAACAATCTGGCAAGCCCTCTATTCAGCGCTACACCAAGGCTACAGCAAGGTGACCTGCAGTTTGGGGCCAAGGTCGGGGACAGGTCACTGCCTGAAAAATGAAACTAGTCAAAAGGAAAGAATCCTTGGAATGGTTGAGGTTAGTCACCCACAAAAGTAACCCAATCCAAGAAATGGCATCAAAAACCATTTTTTATGGAATCCAAAGTTCCAGCTCTTTTAAATAATCCTACTGGCCCCTGCAAGCTGGTGCTAGGATGCTCTGAAATATGGTCTTAGGAATCAGCATTTTGTCCCTAAAATTCCTATAGAGTTCTTCCATTCCTTCATCGTTGCTTTTCAGTTTCCTCAATTCCCTCCTCCCTTCTCCTTCTCTTCCTTCTACCTCTATCCCAGCTTCAAAGCTGGAGACCAGACACCAGGTATGAAGACACTGCCACCCAGTTACCTGAAACTCTGTCTGAAAGCTGACCAGCTTTCTCCTCCCAACATCTTCCCGGTGCCTCCCTGCAAAGGCAGAGTGTCAAATACATGCCTTTATGGTGACATTAGTTGGCCATGTTATGCCATGAGTGCCCATTTTAAATAAGCCCTTTCAAGGTGAAAGGAACTTAATTTCTTCTTTTTTTTTCCTTTGTATATTATTTATGTTTTGCTAAGGAAGATTAATCCTGAGCTAACATCTGTTGCCAATCTTCCTCTTTTTTTGCTTGAAGAAGGTTAGCCCTGAGCTAACATCTGTGCCAACCTTCCCATACTTTATGTGTGGGTCGCTGCCACAGCATGGCTGATGAGTTGTGTAGGTGCTGGCCTGGAATCCAAACCCATGAACCTGGGCTGCTGAAGCAAGGCACACCAAACTTAACCACTATGCCATGGGGTAATGCTTAGACTATTTCTTTGCTCTTTTATAGCCCTTCTTATCTCACGTGATGTATGTGAGTCCTTACAGCGTGCCTGCTATGAAGAGAGGCTGCGGGATGAAAGCACATGGGTTCCTTATTTTCAGCCTTCCAAAAAAAAATCAATGTCATTTCTTCCCCTAGATGGCAAAATGAAAACATTTCACAAATAAAACTATATCACTTTAAAGATGTGAAAATACTAGGTGTACTTTGAAAAGGATTTTTATTTTAAATAGGTAGTCAGAAGCTGATAAGTACAACTAAAATGTTTATATTCATCTAGTTCCTTTTTCTAAGAAACCCCAAAAACATAAAGTTAGAAAGGGGTTAGAAAACCCTTACAATCATAAAGTTATAAGTTACTTCTCTTTAATGTATAGAAGGATGGGGAGAGAGATTTCAGCTTCTTTTTGTTTTATATTTGTTGTCAAGAATTCATATAAGAAAGTCAATTTTATACAAAATAATTTCACAAAATTACTTTTAAGAGAGTCAATTTCCATAGATCAATTTCACTAGGTCATATAATATAAGCCTTTTAATATGAGCTCCTTAGTTTTATTAGTTCACTATAAATTATTTATCTTGAGAAAAATACGTTAAAAACAGAATTAGAATGTCTGTAGTTTATATAGCTCACAGCATTAAGTTAAAATAGTATAATATATGTTATACAGAGAGAAATGTAAATGTGGCCTAAAAGAACATTTTTGAGTCAGTTTCACATTAAACATTGAATAGAAAAGTTGACTAATCTTAAAATAAAGCAACTCACTACATCACTCTGCTACAAGCAAACATTTCGTTTGTAAATAAGGATGAAGTGACAGTGCTTGAAAGTGTAGTTCATCAAAATCACAACAAGAAACCAAATATTGTGAACATGTAAAATTCCATGTTTATTTAATATCCATTACATAGCCGGTTCATTGAAACCAGACTTCGTAAAGGCAAATAACATTTCTGATGAACATAAACAATATCATATAGTTGAAATTCATCCTGTATTTTCACATGAATAAAGATGTCATTATGCAAGAGTCTCAATAATAGAGACCTTGCCGTGAGTTGGCGTGGCACGTCTCAATGTTTGGAGGCAGCTTCAGCCTCCGTGAGCTTGAGAGGAGAGATTAGCAGCTGTGTGTCAAGAAGCTCAGTGATCAGCATGTCCACACTCAGCTGTCGAGGAACCTTCCCCCAGCATCTGCGTTGGTGTCCCGTGTGATCTGTGTCACGGGTACCTTCTCAGAGGACACATCCAGAGCTCAGGATGGGTATTCCTAGGATAAAAAAAAAAACGCAAAGCAAAACACTAAATCCAATATGCGGACAATGTAAAAAGACTCTACTCGGAGAGAAGTATGAGTGTTATACTTAATAATATCAATGGTTATTATTTTTATAGTTGCTCATATTTATTATTGTTTACTACATACGTACCAGGCACTGTGTTAAGCACTTAAAATTCACTGTCATAAAATGGTCACAAGAATACTTTAAAATAAGCACTGTAATTATCTCTGTTTTATAAACAGGGGAGCTAAGCTTGACGGAGGTCAAGAAAGTTGAATGTGGTTTCACAGTAAGTAGTAGAACCAGAATGCCCTTTGTAACATCGAACACAACCCAGGGAAAACCAGCAGCTTCTTGTACCAGACACTGTGGATGAGCTGATGGCTTCCTCAGAGCTGGTCATAGAGCTTTTCTCTATCTTTTCTCTTGTGTGGAGGCTGGAAAACAAAAATTCTCGACGTTCTAAAAAGACCTCTTTCGGTCTCCCTGATAATATTTTTCTATTTTCCATTTCTATTTCTCCCCATTTTTACATTTCAAACCACAATTCAGCTCTCCTTCCTCCTAGGGTTGGCCATATGATAGATAAGATGTGAGGTGAAGTTGCGAGCCGGGGCTTCACAGACGGTTTTTAAAAAGAGACAGACTCAGCTGGGCAGCAGATCTCTGATTAAAGGGTTGATCTCATGTTAAGTGTTCTAACCACACACACACACCTGCACGCACACACATACACACAAAGACACAGACTCCTGATGTTTTGGCTCCTCCACCCTTCTTTTTTGCCTATCTTGGGTTATCCAACCTCAATTTTGTTGATACATAAGGAAAAACACCCTTTCTGCTAAACCATGCTAATTTGATACTTGTGGCTGTCTATACTGATTACCTAAAACTGCTTTATAAAGTTTTGTGACTTACTGGGGAGTGGGAACAATAATCACTAATATTCATTCAATAAAAGGATAAAAGATAGTGTCATATATCTTAGGTATGGTATATTCTGTACTGTATTTCTGCGATTAAATTAATGTTGGATGGGTTTCCTTTCATTTTCAATACTGAACACTGGAACATCTGAAATAGCTATCAGTTCTTCTTGCTATAAGTATGCAGGTTAAAAAATAAGATAAGCCCTCTAGGCTATGTGCACAGAAAGAATGGCTACAGCCCTGATCAGAGGGTTCCAAAATCGAGAATTGGACTCATTGTTGGGCTCAACAGAGAAGACAAGGAGAAAATCCAGGAGAAAAAATAAATTTTTGGAGAGCGTGAGATACTTAGACAAATTTTTTTTTCTATTAAATTGAATAAAACCTACTTTCTATCCCAATTCTCCGTTAGTGATTGAAATCCGATCTCCAACACTCACTGGGTGTGTGATCTTAGACAAGGTTGTTTCACCTCTCTGAGATTACTAATTGTTTTCAACCATAACATCAATGTTTTGCAATGCATCTCATAGGATTGTTTTTAGGATTAACTAAAGCAATGAATGTGAATTGCCTAGTACTGTGTCTGACATATAGAATACAGTTAACTGATTTTAATTCCCCTCCACTCCAGTTCCCAAACACCCATCCCCTTTGACAGAAGAATGACTTCAAAGAATTCTGTCTAATCTCTGAAAGCGTTTTTCCTTTTCTTACTTCACAGCCCACTCACCATATAAAGACAACATTTGGTTGGACACAGGTATTAGTGAAAGAAATGCCTCCTACTAGGATGTAAGCTTCCTGAAGGCAGTAATCGTATCTTATCAATGTTTACATTTCCCAGGAATTTGAATTTCTAAAGAATTTCCACTTAGGATATCTGAATAGAAAAGAGTTTTTGAGCCCACTATTTTACCATTTAATGATTTATCAATCCAAATGACTCATCTTTTTCAAGGTGCAATCTTGTCAGCATTTACTATCCATTAAGCACAATGCTTGAGGACTTGTAAAGCAATTGTGATCATGAACAAGGGCAAACCCATATTGTGGATGATAATATGAAGGCATGAAAATAAAACAAAAAACAAAAAATATCCTATAATATGTTGGTTGTTTACTGTGAACTATTCTCTATGCTAGGCACCTCCACACATTCTCACTAATACTCTCCACAGCTCTGTAAAATGGGCATCATTAGCCCCATAGTACAGAAAGGAAAACCAAGGATCTGAGACTTGACTGGCACCAACCAATAAGAATTCAGTGTCTTAACCAGGGCTTGACTTCAGTTCTCTCATGTTCCAAAGTTTGAGCTCTTTGCACTTCACACACTGCATCTAAAAAGACATGCAGATTATGAATTTCTGGAAAAAAGAAAAAAATCAAGGAAATCATATATCTAGTCTGGTAGAAAACAAGGTTTGGAGACCTTAATTATTCAGCTCTATAACATCAAAATTATTTATTGTTAATAAAAAACAATGACAATGCCCAGTATTACTGTTGCAACATACAAAGGCCTCATTTAATCTTCACAACATCTCTGTGAGGTAGATATTATTATCTCCTCGTATGAATAGATGTTGAAATTCAGAGAGAGAATTGGCTTTCCGAAGTAACAGACGTTGGACCCACACCCTGACCCCATCGCCTAGTCGAGAGTTTTTTCTGCCATACCACATCATTCTACTCTCCGTGCTACTTTGCCTGAATTTCAGTGAAAAAAGGATGAAGGAAGCAATGAAGACATGGAATAACCACCGTCTCTGGTCCTTCTTTCTTCCATTGTCTACAATGTTTTCTGCTGAACAAGGATTCTTTTTTAGCAAGGTGTTCTGAGAAGGCATTCTGATAATGTATGGATCCAATAAAGCAAGTCTTCCCATGGAGCACGGTTGGGCAAGCATTAGAGTGATTTCTTAAAGGTCTTTAGGTCATGCTTGGCTTTCAGGGTGTCCTTTGTCTCCTCCTTAACGTCTGTTTTCAAATGAGCAGTGAGTAATCACTTTAAGGGTTCAAATAGCTCTGGGGTATTTAACAGGTGCTGGAACTTATGTGTAGGTCACCAGTTCAGATCCAAAGATACATGGTTCTCTCTTCTTCTAACTTATGACTTCAAGCAGTAAGATGAAACCAATATCTTTAAACTAGTATATTGTACCATAAAATCATTCCTCCCCACTTTGACTTAGAGGTGCTGGTGAGGAATCAACTGGGATTGTTACCACTGAGAACTAGCAGGGCAGCAACCACCAGTCACTCCAATGACACCCGATGTGTCCCTTGTGCTGTTAGAAGGAGGACAGCTGGATATAAGCAACCAGGTGGGGTGGGATAGCATATATTCCTTAAAAAGATTCTTTTTGTGTTTGTGAAAGGTGGAATTAGAGTGAGTAGCAGAAAGAGCAGCAAGGAGTAGTTGATAAGAAAGAAGATGATGATGCAAGTTTGGACTAAATTAGAAAGATCAAGAAGAATGATCAAATGAGTAAGCAGCTAAACGTGGGAAGAAAAAAAGAATCAAATGCCAAATGTATCAACTTTGAAAACTAGAAAACCCCAGACAATAAAGGTGAAGGTCAAAGCAAAAGGTAGTTACTTGAGCGCTCAGTTATACTTTTTTTTGGAGGCAGATTCCAGACTTTTAATAAAGATATTGTAGAAAACTTAAGAGGTTCACAGTACTACACAAAATTGGGGGGGGGGGTAGGAATTAGAATTGAATAATTGGTTTCGTTGTGCTACAAATTCCCTAGCCATTCCCATCATAAGGAATTTCTCACAGTACCAAGTTATTCTTAATTAGCTTTCTGATGATCTTTTAGTGTTAAAAACATTGTCTTCAGGTATTATTAAGGGAAGATGCCTGAATCAGGAAGACTCAATAATATTTATAGATAATATCCTGGTTCCTGGAGAGGACCAAAGATGTCAAGGTATGTCCTGCATAGCCTAGGACTTGCAAAGGCTTGTTTCTGTCTGGTTGTGCCACGTTATATGTTTCTCATTTTACTCCTTCTTGAACCCCTGACTACTATTGTGAAATGCCATATTCTCAAGACTAAACAGTCTGATTTCACCATTCTCTCTAACGGAATATTTACTAACTTAATCTTCACTATAAATCCCTGAGAAAAGATCTATTATTATTTCCATTTTACAGATGAGGAAGCTGACACAGAGAGGTACAGCAACTTCCCAAGGTCATGCGGATAGTTAGTGAAGCTGGGATTCAAACTCAGGCAGTCTTCTCCAAGTCCTTGCTCTTAACCACTACACAATAAGGCCTTGCTTGAGTATTTAATGCAATTAAAATATTTAATAGTCTTCAAAGAAGAAAATTTCAGTACAAACAAAGCTATAGGTATGTTTCCAAGTATTTAGTGGGTCCATAACTGACCTGAGAAATAGAATTGTTTTTTATTAAGAAACTATGATTTAATTCCTGATCTATTTATGTGTGCAAATTATATTTTTTCCAAATAAAAAAGAATATTTTATCTATCTACATAGTGATAATAATTATAGAAAAATGAAAATTTCATGAAGAATCTAAAAGTTGTAATATTTTAAATGGCTCTGTTCAAAAAGCTAAGCTGGAGTGAATGGGGCTCCTCTTTGAATCAGGCCTAGTTAACAAATAACAGAAGACTCCTATATTCCTGCCTTCATTTCTGCGCACCGGAAACATTGTTTGTACTAATGAAAATGCGAGTTGGTGGCATTTCAAATAAGGAAACAGAGGCTGTAAACAGAGTTGAATACAAACGTAATCGGGAAAGGTGATATGAACTAAGCCATGTTTATCCAAGCATTTGGAATAACGGCTCATGAGTCCCATAGAATATTGTTCCTCTTTGAAAACAGCCATATACAGGAGCCTATTGGTTCATTTCTTGGCATCTTATTCATGCTCTAAATCTCCCTGCTGGATAAGAAATCTAGTCCTTATCACTACCGTTTTTCAAATTAAGCTCATCTCTCTTGCTGGGTGCCTGGATGAAGTAAAATCTAACGATTTCTCAATTTGTTTCATTATTTTTTGAAAT